AACTGTCAAAAAACTGGTTTTACTGGTCTGCTGGCTACTGCTTCATACTCTTACAACGCATATGCAGTACATGCGTGTTTATATTTCAGAAACACATCGACAAAGGTTATTTGGTGCCTAGTATAAGCTGGGATGATAATATTTCACAAACTCTTTTCCCGAATATGGAAACTGGATCAGGGTGGTGTAAGGAATTTGGATGTCAATGCAATGCTAATGACTTTCAGTGAGACGCTCGACAGATAATCCTTATGACAATTCAGCGCGTTAATTTAATACCTCTGAGGATGTAGACCAGAAATCTTTTTCAAAATATCATCAATGTCTTCAAGTCACTGATCTGCTGTTATATCGGGTTGTGCGGAAAAAAGGGATCTTTAGAGGTCTACATTGTGCCTGATGCTCCTCAATGTACCTCTGGTGCTGGTTACTCAATCAGCAAGACCATCACAAGAATATATGAACCATGAAGAGGTCGTGTTACAAGGGGTGAATTTCTCAATGGGACAGCAAAATATTGATGCTCGTGCTCATCCGCTAGACGCTGCCTACACCAATTTTGAGGGATTGCTCCCAATCTGAGCGTCCTTAATAAATCACACTGCCGAGGATTTTGGGGAGAGTAACCAAACACTGAACGTCATGGTACTTCACATCATTTCAAGCAACGAAAGCGATATTGGTATCTGCTTCAACGATGGTTCTACCTCTGCTAAGGCGTAAAGACCAAAGAGTGCTTTTGTATCAGTGCATAATTCTCACATCCGGAACTGAGCCGAAAACCACAAGGAAGGAGGATATCTTTTTTCATCGAGTAATAACCTGTCTAAAACTTCTCTGCCACATGTCAGCGATCTGTTCGATGTAGCTTCATACCCATGCCTGCTTTGTGCTGATTACCCAAATCACCAAATTTTCATCACCTTGATAAAAATCAGAACAGTATAAGTCACTACGTTTGTGTGTTCCGCTGAATAACGATTTGTGTTTTCGTCCATTTTCCGGATTGATATCGGCAAGAGCAGTCTCCACATAGAACACCTGTAAAGATTGGCTAACGAGCCGTCTACTCAAGGCTAAAAAACGAAACACTCCTTGTAGATCCGGAAAGAGCTTTCACGAGGACGGACGAAGACCCAACACCTAGTTAGTGTGAAACCTTAGGGGCTTTTCGTTTCTCACTCCGAGCTCACCTTCACCTCTGAATTGGCCTGGGACCTAATGAAATCTCTTTCGAACTTCATCGGATGCCGCGTCCTAGAAGCACACCCAAAATTCCTCTGAAACCGTCTTTCAAGCACTCAATATCTGAGCGCGTGGCCGCAGTTTTATTAGAAGTTGTTTAAACGAACTCGGGGTCCGCTGTGGGCGCGAAACTCGTATTTTAATGACTGTCGGTGGCTTGGAGCATTGTCTCTATGGAAATGTTTGTTTGTTTGCGTGTTTCTCCTGCGTGTTGGATCTGCAAATAATCTCAAAACGACTTAAACAACAATTCCAATAACCAAAGTGGAATAGCCATTCGCAACCTGGATATGGAAAATTCTTCTTCTTCTTTCAGGGCGAGAAGGTTCAAATGGTTACAGCGCGAATTCACTGACCAGGAGGTCCGTTGTTCAAACCAGACCTCTGCCTCTCGACTTCCCCTGTCCGGGTTTGGGCAACCTGGCAGTATCCCAACCTTCATACTTCCTTCGGGTAGCGTGGCAGCTAGGCACCGTAAGGGCGTTAAAACTGAATGATTAATTTTTATTTTTTATGATACCTTCAGCTATCTCGTGACGCCGTCTTATCTACGGGATAGTTATGCACATCGCGGGTAGGAATCATCAACACAAACGGCCCTCGCATCGCCACTGCACAGTTCATGCTGTTGTCAAGCAATGTTGTATTTAATGGAAGCGAGCTATATATTATCTTAGCAATCTTTCACTAAACTTACCTGGTCGAATCTGAAACTTTTGCACTGTAACTTTAAGATTGGGACACGTGCCAAAAACTCTTCGACAGCCCAGGACCGGTTTGGCCCTTCAGGCCTTTCGGGACATGAGATTAATTAAATCATAGCTTAACAAAACTGAGGCAGATAACGGTGGGTTTTAGTAGGAGCTGACAAGCCAAAAAGCTATATTTTTTGCGTAAAATTTTTGTTTAATAGATGAAGGTTTTGGAGGTACTAGCATCTGCCGGCTATGGGACGTAGTGGAGCCTAGCGATATGTCGGCAGTGGCTCAACCAACAACCAATCGCTACGCTCCAAATAACGCACTGTTCGTAACTTTGGTTTGTGATGAAGCGTTTGCAATTAAATTGCCGANCCACAACACAATTTACGTTATCATCATTGATTTCCTTTATGCATACAAGCCAAGTACATTATTTCTTGCATTAGAGCTTTCTGAAAAAACAGTAACCGAGGGTAGGCTTGATTTCGGAGCCTTATTCTAAAAGCCACCTTTGACATTGGTTCACTTGAATGAACAACTGATGTAGCGCAAGGTCCGCTTCCAACAACTGCAGCTCACTCGCTTCCCTATTTCACTCATGTTTGCGGTGGTTTTCGACTAGTGTAAATTAAGTGAACATCATTCAGGTGACAGTTCTTGCTTATTTAAAGTATATTCAGAATTATGAACGTGTTGAGTCGGACAAGCAAAGGTGTTCCCAATTTAGACATTGTGAATTACCCTATCGGGTCTGTTTGCACCGTGGTGGTGGTGGTATTCTATGGGGGAACCAATATGGTTGTAATATTTCGGTCTCTGGAAAACCACAAGGCTTAGACACTGCATAAAACCAGCAGAACCTGTGGGTTTGCTTGACACGGAGGTTTATAAAAAAACCTTGATTTGTTTACTGCTGTGCATATGTTCCCCCGCCCTAATCCTTACCTTGATTACCAGTGGCTCTGTGCAAAACCTACCGCTCCTAATTTTACAGGCTTTTCCGGGATATAAGGACCACTGCCATTTGGCGCATGATGTAAAAGTACGTGGGCACTTGTATCCGATATCACCACTTTCGTTTGAGTCATTTTGTGGGTAAAGTGAGAAAAAAGGTACTTAGGCTGCGTAACCCCGCCGCTCAAATACAAAGACGCATAACTGAATGAACACTGCTGACACCCTGAACTGACTGTCGGCAGGTGATTGTGGAAGATGTACACGTTTTATCAGGTGTTTTATTCTTGTAATTGTAGTAAAAACGCCTCTTTCTAGCTAGTGAGTGTCGTATCGTAAGGCATGTTCATACTGTTGTAGTCAGAATAAGAGCACCGCTGGCTGTATCTGCGGGTCCTGGGGATTGCGTGGAAAATGAACCGTGTCATAAACAGTGAGTGCCATTCGACGTAGGGTTGGTCACACCTGAACCTGCATGAGCAAGGAAACATAGTTACCAGGAGAATGTCGAGCTGAGACAATATGAGATCGCCGATGTTTGAGCGTGGATGGAAAACGCAGAATGAGGGAGGGCGAAACAAATAGCATTCTACCTTGAACGTGGTAAGAAAATTTCAAATTGCGGGAAATGAGGAAATGGAACATCCGACCCAGTGAGGCAGCAGAATTTCTGGCCTGTCGATATGAACTGAAGCCCAAAATTACCCAGGAGGCCTTGCGGCCTTGAACTGTTGGGCCTTAGGCTGTGTTCACGAAAAGCGTAAGTATCGATGATTAATTGGAGGATCAATGTTAGCAAGAATCCCAGAATCACGGTGTGCAGCGAAACTGTAGGGACCCATTGGTGTTAGTGTTGGAGTGTTCGCGTGTTAAAGCTCCTTGGGAGAGGAAGTTGGTGCTAACGGTTGGACGGAACGCTAACTGCACATAAAAGAATCCATTTTGTGAGGAGCACAAAATAAGTCACCGATATGTTCAGATCCGGACGTAAGGTTCGTCAGACTAGCTCTAACACAGCCGTAGCAGGGTAAACGGTTTGTTCGTATTTGCAGGTAGGGGTGTAGTCGTCTGGCTACCCAGTAAGTTAGTTTTCCAGAAGTGTGTAGCAAAAAGATAAAAATAATAACGCTAGGTTGGGTATACAATAATAAAGAAGGCAGAT